TTCTCCTAGAGACAATTCAAAAATAAATTATTCCATCTGACTATGGCCAGGTAGTCCTCCATTTACGACTGGTCACTTAGTGACCTTTTGAAGTTACTGGTCACTTAGTGACCTTTTGAAGATCTCCCTATGGCAATCAGACTGGACTTGCGACCGTTTGCAACATCCCGTAGTCACACAATTGTGTGCGATCACATTTTTGACTCCAAAACTGGTAGTTACTTCTGATTTTTTGGCAAAAACTGGCAATGGATTTGCATAATGGTCATGGCGTTTCTTTTACGACTGCTGCAAAAAAACTAAAATTGGATGACTCGCTTTACAACCGAGATAGGAAGGTTCCATTAAAGTCCAATCGGACTATAGGTAGTCCTCAACTAATGACCAAAACTGAGTCCAAATTTCTGTTGTGAAGTGAAACGTTTGGTTAAATGAGTTTTGATCCTCTTTGTGACTTTTCGGGCGGCGACGGCTAAGCGGATCGCTGCGGTTGGTAAGTCAGTAATACGGTTGTTAAGTGAATCTTGACTGGGCTTGTCAGAAAGTAGCAAAAGGCGATCACATGACCCCCGGGATACTGTTGCGGTCGCAAATATGAATCAGTCGCCAAGTGTTTGAATTTTGAACACTTGATTACGGGAATGCTGCGATAGTCGTAAGTGTGAAAAAGAGTCCCAAGTCACTCTTTTGAGTGCCACTGTAACTTCAAATGGTTACTAAACAAATCATTGTAAGTCGAGGAGTACCTGTATTGTAGGAAACATGGACTATTTCTCTTTTCCCCCTCCTTTTTCCTCCCCCCCCCCCCCGGAAAGTCTGCAGTGTTTTTTCCTTGTTTTGTTTCTTCATTAAAAGGGGAAAATGCCAGTTCTGTTTTTCAGGGGAGTTTCAAGGCTACAAATCACGCAACAATACTTTTGTGACTTTTATATATTGCACAACGTGATATGTCCTTGATGGTTTATTGTCTGTTTCGTTGCTATCTAAAATAACATATTTTGAGTTGGGCAGTTGGGTGGGTGGGTGAGTGGATGGGTGGATGGATGGATGAGCAGATAGATGATATGATAATCAGTATGGGGCAGTGATGAAGCCATCAAGGTAAAAAGTAGGAGACCTTGAGTTCTAATCCCCCCCGTCAGGCCTGCAGCCATCTTTTCTTTTGGATCTTTGGCCTGCCACACTTTCTATTATTCTACTATGCCTTTTCTATGGTGGGAAAATGGGAGGTGGGGATTGTACAGAGTTTGATGCTATGTAGCCATAACAACATTCTTTCTAGAAAGCCAAGGTCATCCTTCGTCTTTGCACCTCTGCACCTGGCCGGAACTGGAGGGATGGAAGCTG